TTAGGAAAAAAAAATGGTTTTTTTTTTTTTTTTTTTACGAAGCATTAACACAAGTTAGACTGCACCCCATAAACACAATCAAGCCTAGAAAAAAAACAGTGAACCACCCCTTTAAATAGGAAAATAGTGTGTCAATAATGCAAAATGACAATAGTAAACACTCAATTTTCAGTTGAAGGCAGTTCATCATTGAATTCAGTGATGTCATCATCCAGCTCAGTTCAGTTTAAATAGTCTCTGTGCAATCAAGTCGACGATATCGCTGGAAGTTAAGTGTCTCCAACTAAGCAAGCCAGAGGCGACAGAGGCAAGGAACCAAAACTCCATCGGTGACAGAATGGAGAAAAAACCTTGGGAGAAACCAGGCTCAGTCTAGCCATACTCTGGAAATCAGAATATCACAGAGTCTTATGGGTAGCTGTTTTGACCACAAAGCGACATCCTAATGCTGTGATTTACATGGGCAGGGACCACTGATGTATTCTTCAGACAATGGGTCTAACTCTCAGTGAGCAATATTTTGTGTCCTACGCGATATACTGTTATGGTCAGTTGTATTTGTAGAGAACTGTCCAAAATCTTTGAGTATACACTTGTGTGTTGCTTTCCCTCGGTTTGAGTTGATCATGTCAAAAGCGGTAATCATATGTGCTCTAGCTGGATAATGCAAATACAATTTCAGTGAAGATGATCGCTACATTTCCCTTCCCATGAACAAACTTCTAGAAATGCTGGGGAAAGCTCATTTTCTTTCTCCTAACTAATGACTCAGAGCAACTCATGCATTTCATTAATTTTTTGTCTGAGAATGAGAGGTGGAAAAGTTGTAAGAGTGGGACGTGACAGTGAGTCCCTCAGGCTGAACTGATTCGAGCATTGAAAGCACGCCAAACCAATCTCATCTTCCCTTGATGTCCAGTTCTGTTGTTAGCACACTCTGTAGAAAGTATTCTTTACACGGGTTTAGAGAGGTGGCATCTGTATGTGTCTATTACACCTGTTTATGAGAATGCACTGTTATCCTTACGTGCCTAGATTTTGGACTTTAGACAAAGTCTGGTCCACATTACAGCATGTTCTGTCCGCCCATTTAGGGTGTTCTCACAGATAACCGGGCTCATTTTATTCCAAATAATTGGTCAGAGATCATCTTAATGAGGTGCTCTAGGTCTGATTAAAAACAAACTCTGGAACGGTCCAGTTTTGGTGAGGTTAGAAACCAATTTGACCCAACGGACCAACTAACCGAGCTGTATCATGATTCATAATGGGAAATGTGTTGCGTAAATAGCAGCAGTGTCTGATTCTGTGGGTGAGCCCATTAGTATCACAGTTGAAAACCAAAGAGTGCCTTGAAATGTCATTGATCTTCTCTGAAATGCTGTCCTGCCTTGCAGGGAAGCTAGTGCGCAAAGCTAGCTTGTTAATTCATCTTGATGGATGGCGCCATGAGCGTAATCCGGAAACATAAACAGGTGCTCTCTGATCAGTGAGAGGACCGTTTACTTGCACGTGACTTGCATAAATACATTTTGCAACATTGCAAATGCAACTATTTACGCCCCTGTTTCTAAACAAAGCAAATGATCTGCAGGTCTGAAAATGGACTTCGACAGGGAGTGGCTGATGGTGTAAGCACAATCCTGCTGCTGAATCTACAGGTTGCATGCAATAACAGAGCACAACCAGTGTAGTCTGATTTACGCTTCTTTTTAGTGAATCAGAAACATACAGCTGAAGCACGTGAACAAATGACTTTTTCGAACAAGTCCTTTCAGGTCTCTTTAACTTCGTCTGGCAGTAAAGCAGCTGTCCGGGAACATTTGGGTAGTTGACCCAGTAGTCAGGCCGTACCTCCCTCCCCTTCACCAGCTTCCTCTGGAATCTCTCCCCAGTGTCTCGCTCCCGCTAAATTGCTTTACTGTGCATCCCATCGATTCTGATGGAGAGCCCGTGATGAATGGCTTTAATAAAGCGAGCCGCAGTTCCCTAAATAAATGAGCGACCTGAGGATTTATTAAGGGCATCTGCATTTGCCTGGGACAGAAACGTGGAGAGACACGTTTAATGATGAATGCTTCTCTTTCTGCTTCCTCCCCAAAGTGTCACGACACTCTTGTACAGTTTGGTGGCTTCTTGGCGTCTAACCTCAGCACAGAAGACTACATCAAAAGGGTGCCGTCAGTCGATGTCCTCTGCAACCAGTTCCACACGCCACACGATGCTGCTTTCTTCCTGTCTCGGCCCATGTATGCCCATCAGATTCTGGTGAGTGTTCAAAACAAACTCTCTTTCACAACTTATTGCAGCGGTTCGTAACCTTTTTGACTCAAAAGCCTCCTTTGTCCAAAACAATATTTGAAAGCCCTTTGTCAGGTTTGCATTTTAATCAAGACTACATTGATAATAGGGTTGTCAAACATTTCAATTTCGAATATTCGTCGAATTTAAAATAAAAAATCCACATTCGAATGCCAAAACCTTGCATTCGAATTTTAGGTGTGCATCAGGCAGCCTTATCAGCGGCGCACGAGATGCGATGACGATGTAAGTGTCGTTGCATTTTAATGCTTTTGTTAGCCTATCCAGTTGAACCCACTAGATGCGGTGCTGCTACGTTGTTTATTCAAAATATTGCTGGAAAAAAGAACATCAATGTGGAGATGTTGTATACGTCAAAACCGAAACCAACCAGTTCACACAGAACGCATGTTTATCACATTTTCATGTAAGTTCAACTTTTTAAAAACCTGTCTCAAGACTTTATGGCGGGTTTTCCCCATCCTACTGCATGGTATGTTAGCCTATAGTTTAAAGTAAAAAATATTATTAATATTAATAAGGAGAGTCTGAGATTTATTTGACAGTGATTTCACATTTCTTGTTTGTATGAAGGCTAAATACCAATAAAAGATGAACATTTATTTATTTGCGCCATTTTTTTCCTAAAATATTATATAGTTTTATAGGAGTAGGTTTCATAGAGTTGGCTAATTAATTTTTCATAAGTTTGTAGGTACAGACATCTGTTGTGGCCGTTCTTGGCCGTTTTTATGAGGCTTTTTTAATAGTGTTCATATCGATATCGGAATTATATCGTATCGACCGAAATTAAGAAATATATCGTGATATAAATTTTGGCCATATCGTCCAGCCCTAATATATAGTACCAGTCAAATTTTTGGACACGAATGGGAAAGTGTCCAAACTTTTGACTGGTACTGCACTATAATATGCACAAAGAATATCGGCTGATATATCGGTATCGGCCTTTGTTTTACTCCCTAATATCAGTATCGGCCCCAAAAAAAACATATCGGTCGGGCTCTAGTTTATAAACATAATTTAAACATTATGCACTTTTTTCAAAGATAGTCTTGTTATTTTATTATGCTTTGAAGAAACGTGCATAATATTTTGTTCGATGCGCCCTCTTGTGGCCTCAGGAGAGAAGTCAAAAGCTTTTTCCCCCCTAACTGAAATGATGCCTTTTAAATTCGAATATAATTCGAATATTGATAATATTTAAGTACAAAATTCGAATTTAATTTTTCAGCCATTTTGACAGCCCTAACTGATACAAAAATTTAAATGAGACTTGCTGGGATGTTAGCATGTTTACTAAGCTGATGGTTTAGTAAGTCAATCACAAAAGTACCTTGAAGATCAGCCGCTAACAAAATCATGCATGACCTTGCAAATGGATGCATGCAGTACTGACTTAGTTGACTGAGCTGATCTCATTGTTTAGTGTTTCTCACATCAAGGGTGTGATTAGTGCAAAAAAATGCTGTAAGACAATAACGGTTGAAGAATGAAGAGACTTTAATAGTGGTTAAAATTGCGAAGCATCCAATAATGCTTTGCTTTTGCTTTAATACGGTTCTTGCATTACAGTAAACGGATTTATTTGTTATATTTTGCAGTATTATATGATGCTGCCTGCCTAATGAATATTTCATACAGAGCTAATTTTGTGATTTCCCTCAACGCTAGACCCCCTCTTACAGCTCTCCAGAGCGGTGTAAAGTTAACCCCTTATCTCTTCACTTCTAACAAGATTTACCACGTGCAAACCTCTGCATATGCTCATCTTCAGGCCTGTTTGTTGTGCTTGAGTGAATTATAAAGCTTGCCTGCTGTCTTTGTGTTCCCATCAGTCCAAGTATGACGAATTGAAGAAGGCAGAGAAGGGCAACAGGCAGCAGCAGAAGGTCCATAAGTACATCGCAGCCTGCGAGCAGATCATGGCTCCTGTGCACGAGGCTGTCGTGTCTCTTCACTTGCCCAGAGTGTGGGATGACCTTCGACCTCAGTTCTACGCCACCTTCTGGTCCCTCACCATGTACGACCTGGCGGTACCACACAACGCCTACGACCGCGAGGTCAACAAACTGAAGATGCAGATCAAGGCTATCGATGAAAACACGGAGATGGTGAGACACTAAATGACCTTGCAGTGAAAATTCAGCCCAAGAGATCTGCTGCTGTCTGTATTGTTGTTCGAAATGAATCAAGCAGCCATATTTACTGGAGTAAGAGAATCAGTTACTGTGCTTGCATTATTAGAGGTATTAAAATAATTACTTAAAAGTGGAAGCAGTTTTTACTCATCAAATACTTGAAGACTGATTGCATTTAATTTTTAAACTGTGTTAAGTAGCACAATTCACTAATATTAGAATCGACTACTGAAACTTTGTGATTCTAGTGACAGCCTCATTCACAGTCACATTGACCCCTTTATCTGACCACAGTAAATTTATGGCGCTTTTCCACTGCATGGTACGGCTCGGTACGGTTCACTTTTGGGGGGTTTTCCACTGGGTACAGTACCTGGTACCTGGTACTTTTTTTAGTACCACTTCGGTTGGGGTTCCAAGTGAACCGTACCGTTACCAAAACGTGACGTGTAAACTCTGCTGATCACGGATTGGCCGGAGAGAATCGTCACTACCTGCGTCACAAACACAAAAGAACCGCTAGATTTAAATCAGCACAGCCGGCGAAGGATCAAATGCAACTGTTTTGAACGAGCGCACCTTTTTTTTAACAACCAAAAAGTTTTGTTGTCTGTTGCGGAAGTACAGACGTTCCTCTCGTTGATAGCAGAGGAGCGGATCCAGCGAGAGCTTGATGGGGCGACGCGGAATGAAAAAGTTTTTTTTAGGAGTCGTGGTAGTAGAGGCGGCGCAACTATAACGACATGTGAATAATCCCGCCCACTCTAAAGCGGTACTGAACTGCAGTGGAAACGCAAACCGTGCCGAGCCGAACCGTGCCGTGCCATACTGAGCCGTACCGAGCCGAGTCGTACCACGCAGTGGAAAAGCGCCATTAGTTGCGCCTCATAATAATGGTTTTAAAGCCTCTCTTCATCAATAGTGCTGCACGCCACATATCAGAGGTTTTGTGAAATGTTGATTTAAAGAGAACAGCTTAGTGTTGCAGCAGCAGGGCATGAACCTTACAAATTGGCATTTTCAACAAAAGTACACAAGGAAGTAACAGTTCTTGGGTCCTTTTGAGTCATATTAACTTTTGGATCAGTGAGTCCGTTAATGCAATGAGTGCAGCTCTTAACAATGAGGACTTTAGTTTTAATCTGTCCTGCAAAAAAAAAAAAAAAACATATATATGGAAATAAAATACAGATAAAATAATGGCATTGAATTAATAGGTGGTTAATTTATTATTTAAGCTGTTATAATTGATCTTTCTGACACCCTCACAAGTCACAGTTTTGGCAAGTTTAGTTGTCAGATTATGGATGATGTTGTTTTAGTGACTGACAACAGCATTCAAGATTTTGCGATGCACAAATCAACCTTCACATTCAGCTTAACCTCGATCTCAAAGCTCAAGTTGTTTTGCCGTGAGGCTGTTGATAGATAGAAGTTGACCTGTGCAGGAATCATTGCAGTCTGTGGTCAGATGTTGTTCATGAGATGCTTTTCTCTATTGCAGCCTCTGAACAAAAAGAAGAAAGAGAAGGAACGCTGCACAGCGCTGCAGGACAAGCTGCAGGAAGAGGAGAAGAAACAGCTGGAGCATGTGCAGAGAGTCCTGCACCGTCTCAAACTGGAGAAAGACAACTGGTTACTCGCCAGTGAGTCCTCAGATAACTCTCACAATCTCTGCGCTGCTCAAAGGCTCTTCGCGTCTCGTTCACCCCCGTATTCCCTCTATTCGCAGAATCCACTAAGAATGAAACCATCACTAAGTTCCTGCAGCTCTGCATCTTCCCCCGCTGCGTCTTCTCAGCCATTGATGCCGTTTACTGCGCTCGCTTCGTGGAGCTGGTGCACCAGCAGAAGACGCCCAACTTCTGCACCCTGCTCTGCTACGACCGAGTGAGTTGACTGCAGTATGCCCAACCATTGCAGCCACTTTCAGCAAACAGGCTACAAATGTGTCTTTTAAAACAATAAAGAAGCGCAAATCCCAGGTTCCTTAGAATAAGAACCCTTATTAAGTGTATATATCACAAACGTGATATGAAACCTGTCTAGTCTTAAATTACAAAACAGCATAACATGACAGCTTGTTGAAATTGTTTGGTTCATTGTACAGAAAGTTCAAATTTTGTGCTTATCTACCAAAAAAAAAAAAAAACTATTTAGCAGTGTCACATTCTTTTACCACATAACTGCTACACTATGAAAAAAATAAATGAAGTGTGGTGTGATTTAGATGCCTTCTACAGCATGATAGGAACACAAAAATCCATTTTCTCTTAAATGTCAATTTTTCGAATTTGAGATTTATACATCATCTGAAAGCTGAATAAATAAGCTTTCCATTGATGTATGGTTTATTAGAAACTATTTGAAAATCTGAGGGTGCAAAAAAATTTAAATTTTAATACAAAATATCTTCATGGAACATGATCTTTACTTAATATTCTAAATATACCTATTTCTTATTATCTGTGTTCGGTGGCTGAACAATTGCGCTCTTAAACAATAGCCTTTCTTTGCTCGAACAGCACTGTGTTTGAAAACATCCTGTTATTCGTTTCAATGTTATAAAAGTTAATTAATTGTCCCATCCTGTCTGCTTGGGAGGTACAAATGCAGGACTTGGAAAAAGCGATTAAAGTGCTGCAGAACAGCATGAAAAACAAACAGCTATCTGTCATTTGAGGTTTAGATCTTTGTGCGGTGGGTTTTGGTGATGGCTCACGACAGCGATGGAGATAATTCAATTAAAAAAGAAAAAGTAATCAAAGGCTTTGGTTTGCAAGTCAGTTTCAAAGTATTAAGCTTGAAGTCAAGTCGAGTTAATTTAAGCTTAGCATGTTTTGTAAATAAATCATGCAATTTTTTGGTTTTTATTTCTTTATACATTATATTAAGTCATAAAATATGACTCATGACTTGTTATACAATATCCATTTAGCAATATAAATTTCATAAATCTAACTTCAAGCATAAATGGCTATATGTTAAGCATTTCTTATGGGCTTTCTTCTAGAAACAAAACCATATGACAATTAAACAGTTCATTTAGACTTATTTATTTTTATTTATTTTATGAGAGTTGTCTTATTAAAAATAAAAGTTCTGAAATTTGTCCGCTCACGTCAGCACAGTGGAGACTGTACAGAAAACGTTTAATGTTTGCTAGCAAATGTTATTTTAATTCTGTTCAATGATATTAAGTTCATGAATCAGTTTTTTGATGTTAACTGTATATATTGGTCATGTGTCAAATTTTCATTTTTTTAGTTATTTGTTATAAGTCCTGTTATAAGTTTTTATATACAGTATTATGGTTTGTTAATTACATCATTGCAATAATGGAGGAATATATATGTGACCCTGGACCACAAAACCAGTCATAAAGGCAAATTTTTCGAATTTGAGATTTATACATCATCTGAAAGCTGAATAAATAAGCTTTCCATTGATGTATGGTTTATTAGAAACTATTTGAAAATCTGAGGGTGCAAAAAAATTTAAATTTTAATACAAAATATCTTCATGGAACATGATCTTTACTTAATATTCTAATGATTTTTGGCATAAAAGAAAAATCGCTAATTTTGACCCATACAATGTATTTTTGGCTATTGCTACAAACATACCCGTGCTACTTAAGACTGGTTTTGTGCTCCAGGGTCACATTTGACTACATTCATAAATATCAACCATTCAACCCTGTTACCCAAGTTATTGACAAAAATAATCAAACCTAAAACGTACTCTGTTATTAACGTAACCTCAGTTCCCTGAGATACGGGAACGAGTACTGAGTCTTGCTTAAGACGCATATGGGAAAAAAAGCCTTTTTTCTCCTAAACTGAAGCCTTTTCATTCACGCAGTGAAACTGCATGGCCATTGGTTCGTGCAGTGCTTAAAAAACTAACCAATGGCTTGGCAACGGAGCTGCACGAGCCTATGGCGACGAAGCCCGCCAAAGCCTCTCTGTCCTCCTCAGTTGGAGGAAGCGCGGAGAGCGTAATGACCTGTGCTCTGAACGGAGTGGAGAGCACTTTAGGTACGTAACCCTGCCTTGGTTTCAGGACGACTTAGTGTCGTTAGGCCCGAATTCAAGGCAGGACCCTGGCCTGCAAGGTCGGGACTTCCAGGTTATAAAACCTTGCGAATGTGGACAGCGAGGCCTAGCCGGCCGCTTCACAAATATCCGCAATGGACACACCACTGGACCATGCCCATGACGAGGCGATGCCTCTAGTCGAGTGGGCCCGTACTCCAATGGGGCATTGGAGGCCCAAGGAAGAGTATGCTCGAAGGCGAATCTCAAGAATGGCCTGTGACGAGGGGCTATCTGGATGTGAAAGTATGCATCCTTCAGGTCCAGAGAAAAGAACCAGTCTCCCGAGCGAATTTACGCGAGAATCTGTTTCAATGTAATCATCTTGAATGACCTCTTCATGAGGGCGCGATTCAGGTGTCCGAGATCGAGGATGGGTCGGAGGCCACCATCTCTTTTGGGGACGAGGAAGTAACGGCTGTAAAAACCTGACTCGCTCTGGGCTGGAGGAACCTTTTCCATGGCTCCTTTTGCCTGCAAATTCATCACCTCTGAGCGCAGGACGTGAGCGTCCTTGCTCTGCCGCCCGTGTTTCACTTTGATCTGCCTGGGAGGATTAAGCTGCTCGTATAACGAGGTCCACCGATCCTCATGTGTAACACACACTGGCAGATTAAGTACGCATGATGTGTGTAGAGGATTGCTCAAGTCTGATCGTTCAACCCGCGAGCTCGTCGTTGCTTCCTCCAAGGTAGCTGGGAGGAAAGAAACATGAGCGCGGGGGGAGAGCATCGGAGCAGATGCTGCCGCTGACAGCTTAAATTTTGTGTGTGTGTCACTATGGCTGCACTCACAGACACTGGCCGCTTTTACCACAAAAGCAGTCTGCCCCCGTTCATTCGCAGCGGCAGCATCTGCTCCGATCTACTTTGTAGGATAGAGCCGCTCGATGTAAAGAGGCTTACTGAGAGAGGAGAAACGTGAGAGTGGGGCTGTTCAGTGAAAGGCGGTCCGCGAGTGGAGAAATGCGAGACTCATGCGGCAGGGGAAATGGACCGGAACTGCTGCATCGCTGTAGCGGCGTAGAAGCAGGTCAGCTGTGCTGAGAGGTTCCCCGGATCAGCGATGAGCATAGAGTCGTCGCTGAAGGAGAAGAAATCTGAGAATCCTGTGGCGAGCGCCCGCTTATATAGCCAGATGCCCCGCCCATTCTGGCGGGCTTTGGTGGGCTTCGTCGCCATTGGTTCGTTTTTTAAGCTCTGCACGAACCAATGGCCGTGCAGTTTCACTGCGTGAATGAAAAAAG